GGKGTCAGTGCTGCAGTGACAGTGCCCTTGTCCTCAGCYTYCTGGGGACACAGCCCAACTCTGCCTCCAGGACACACCTTCCCTTCCAACTCCCACTGCAAATCACCATTCTGTTCACCTTCCCTTGCCCTCAGAGCCAATGGTTTTTCCTTTCAGAGCACAGTTCTGAGTGRGGTTTATATAAATAATGATCCCTCCATGCAGTTAGATTTCTGCTCAGTGCCTCCCTTGCTGGGATATTGCCATTTTCATTCTGCAAGGAGTCACACAGAATGGGAGCACTGATACGTGTTTTGATTTCACTTTTTTTCTGAATTATGTAGAGAGGTTTTGCTGTTCATCTATGGTGCCTCTAAGTACTTTTTCTAAGCTTCTTGAAGGCTGGAACCACACAAACTGATTTCAAGTATGCAAGCAAATATTTTCAGTTTGGCTGTACCATGCTTCAATTGCTAATTGTTCTGTTATCACAGATATTAGTTGGAACAGGAATTTTCATGGTCCTTTCCTGGCACAGGAACCCAGTGACATAAGGAAAAGTTCCAGTTTTGTGCTGTTATGCAACTGCCTTGCAAAAGATTGAGCATCTGCTGGAAAACAGCGATTGCCCTGGAAACAAATTSCTGTCTCAGGCTCACAAGTCGTGCCTTGTGAAATTTTATTTCCATTTGCATATTATTTCATGCAGGCTATTAAATGTTTCTCCATGCTGTGGGAGAGTTGGATGCCAGGCCAGTGGAATAGAGCAGAGCAAAGGGAGGTCAGAAGCAGTTGGATGGTGCAGGGGTAAGTGTGGAAGAGGTTGATGAGCACAGTGCAGGTGTGGTGTAAATAACACTCCCAGTTACAAACCTGGTGTAAGCTGGTTGGAAGATGTACTGTGGCAGAGTTTGGAATTTGCAGAGGTAGCAGAGAAAGGTGCCAGACCTCTCAGTGAATAGGGCTGAAGGATGTTTTCATGTRGATCCAAACTGAACTCCATTGTTCCCATTTCTTCCATCAAAAAGAGCAACAGAATTTTCTCTAGGAGCTTTTGTGTTTGAGTTCTAGTGAAATTACTCTTCTGTTTTTACGTGTCTTGTTTCTCCTCTGTCATTTCTGAGGTGTTCAGAAGGGCATGTGTTGACTCTGTTGCTTCAGTGATGCAAAATTCCACTAACTGGAGGTAAACACGAAAGCTAGTTATGCTCCATTATTCAAGAACTGTATGGAAATTTGCAGTTAATAATTACGACAGTATTATCCCAGTTCTGTGCCAGTGTGATACCAGATTTGTAATTCAAAGTGAGATAAAGGAAGGAGACTTTATCCCAAAGTGTTTGGGAAGGAGATAAGTCCAGTTGATTTTCACATGTACTCTCCTACAGACTCTGCACTTTAAAGAATAAATGGAGCCACTTCTGAACACCCACACTGTCCTCAGTTTCACTGCAATTCTGCCATTTCAGGGGCAGATTTTGGGAGCCTGGTTTCACTGTTGGATCTCTGGTGTCATGAAGAGGATTTGGTTCAGTTTCAATGGGAATTGCTTGGATGCCACCTTTAGGTTTTCTGAGGGGAAATAAYAGCATCAATCTCTATGTTTCCTTCTCTTACAAATTAGTGGATCATGGAATTGTGTAACTTGCATTTCTATTAAAATTAAATAGATACTGCTGTTTGTCTTTGACTTGTGTTCTGTTGTCCATGACTTTTCTGGTTTGGGGTTGGTTTATTTGAAGGCAAGAAAGAAAGTATTCAAGTGGCAGTGACTGCTCTCTCCATCAATGTGATCACTGACAGTAGAGGGAAGAATTAGGGAGTGCTCTGCTCCTGTGGGGTACTCAGTTTTGCACGTTTTCTAAATGTCTGTCCAGTGCAAAGTGTTAAATCCTTAAGAAAGGAGAACCTTKTGCTCGTGTGAGGTGGCCTGGTTTTATGGTGTGGGTTTGGGTTCTGCTCTAGSATTGCACATGTGATGCATTAAGCCTCTCCAGCTGAACTGAGCTATAGAAATATTCCTGAGGAGTCACACAAGGATCCCAGTGCTTCCAAACTGTGAGGGAAACAAAGGGATTGGCAACCAAATTTGAAAACAGCAAAACATATGAGGAAAAAAACCCTGAAATGTGAGTCTTCCTTTTTATKAATTTTTMYCCCMWTTTTTTCCYACMGGGCTCCTTTATACTATCCCATAAGRAAAGGATTAGCAGTATTGCACTTTTTTCTTTTTTTAATGAATAAGGATAAAAATTAAAATTTAAAATTAAAACTAAAATTAAAAAAGGTGCACCTAAAGTCTGTGAGCTGAGGCAGAGCATGGCTGCCACAAACAACATCTTATTAGACTTGCAAATYGAGCAGGAGTGATTGATTTATAGCTGATAGTGCTGGCTTTGCAAGGGAACAGGGAGAGGGAACAGGGAAACCCTGCTGGGAATGCCTCCAGCCCCACTGTGAGCAGCAGGAGCTCCCACAGCAGCACAGCTCATTTTCTTTTTATTTCCACGAGCTCTGTGTGTGTGTGGTACCCAGGCTGAGTCTGACAACAACCCACAGAAAATGGGTGTGATATCAATCCTCACTTCTGGGACTTTGCATGGAACCAAGCTGAGTGGATACCAAAATAGATCCCAAAGTTTGAAAATCAAACCTCAGTTTCTTGTAGTTAAAAGTATTGCAGCCTTGATGACATTTAGGACAGGATGGGTGCTGGAATTGGATACAGTCTAATGAAATAAAAAATAATATGAAACTCACACTGAACGTTTCTTGGGAGGATTGTTCATGTATTTTTAAATTGTTGTCAATATAGAARTAAAAACTTTACTGACAAAAATATAGAATTTGCTGTAAATTAGTCTTATTTACATTCCTTCAGAGGTGATTAGAGTCAACAAACCACAGCTAAAACCAAATTCAGGTACCTTTTTTAATATACTGTCAGTAGCAGGAAGAGTGCTTTGTGGTGATCTTACAGAAGCAAATGAGAAAACTCAGARTTCTCAGGCTCTGAGAATGCTCTTTGTGTTGTGGTTTTGGAGGAGAAGGGAAGGCCTTTATTAAGGAATGCAGTGGGCCTGGCCTGCACTGATATTTTCAATTATTTGAAATCCAATCCACACAAACAGATCAGGGCGAAAAAGCTTTTGGGTTTTTACCTTCACATTCCTTCTTTTTGGCAGAATATGCTCACTTTAACATCCTGTTCACCACAACTATCCCTCCACAGAGAAAGATTCTTATCCTGCTGTATTTTCTAAAGCAATGGGTACCTCTTGGCTTTAGCACACTCCTGAAAAGAGCTGCTCACTCTTTGGAAAGAGGAAAGGTAATGAATCAGTGTGGAGGTTATCATCAGTGGTACCACACCAACAGCTATGATCATTTATAAGTGAGTATCCACAGTTTTTCCAGGATTCTCCAGTGCCTGTTTCCTTTTATTCACAGCATTCAGGACTTTCTTTCTTGGCCCRAGCTCCATCTGAATGCTCTGCAGGTCTTCATCAGAGCACAGCATCAGGGCATCTAAATCAATTTTTTCCCTCATGAAGACTGGGAGAAACTCATCCAACATCTGTGATGCCAGAAACACCTCAAGGGGTGTGTTCTCTGCTTCCTCATCATCCCAAATGACTTCTTCCTCGTTCCAAGGGACATCAGCACTGTTCTCAGCATCATCTTCCCTGCCATTCTCAGCATTTTCATTCTGAAAGAGCTCACTGGACATTTTAAAGCTGATACCTCCCATCTCAGAGGACACAGTTTCAGGATTTACCTCTGCAGCCAAATTCCTTCCAAACACAATCTTGCCAAGTCCAGGCCGCTGAAAAATGGAGAGCTGCCTGTCGTTCTCAGCGAGGTTTGTGTCTTCAGGATCATTCAGGAACTCATCCTCCTCTYTCTCATCGAACAGATGCATCATGCTTCTCCTGCCAGGATCATCCTCTGTGTCATTTCTTTGTGTTTCCTGCCTTCTTGTGCCGTCAGCTGCCTTTTTGCTCTTGAGTTTCAAGGTATCTTTCAGGTTTTTGGTTAAAGTACTGGTGGTATTGGAAGCAAACAGACTGGGCAGCTTTACCCTGGAGTGTGTTCCTTTGGAAGAATTCAGCGAGCCCACCTTTTCTTTGATGTAATTGCGGTTCATCTCGTGCTGGTGTTTCTCCTGGCGCCTCTCACACTCCCTGATCTGCCTCTCCACGTTCCTCTGGGCCTGGGCCTTTTGTTTGGAGACCTTTTTCGGGTTGAGCAGGCTCTGCTCGGTGGCGGCTTTGTCCAGGATGTGGAGGCAGTGGCTGCGGTGGCTGCTGGCGGCCGCCTCCAGAGGGGTGCGCAGGTCATTGTCCAGGGAGAAGATGTTGGCCCCGAAGGTGACCAGGAAGGACACGCAGTGCACGTGGCCATTG